TACTCTGCTGCAAGGTGTTAAACACCTGAGAACGGAGACCAGCTACTGCCACAACTTCCCGCCATTTCTATTCAGTTTAAGACGACATATCGTCAAAACGACGCCGTGTGCGTTACTTTTCTTACTAGAATATCAAAGTATGGATCATTATAAAGGGAATGAAAGTCATTGCAAGTTGTAAAATTATATAGTTACTCTGCTACAAGGTGTTTAACACCTGCGGGCGTAGACCAGCTACGGTACAGCTTCCCGCCATTTTTCTTTAATTTAAGACGACGTGACGTCAAAACAACGTCGTGTGCGTTACTTTTCTTACTAGAATATCAAAGTATGGATCATTATAAAGGGATTGAATGTCATTGCAAATTGTAAAATTATATAGTTACTCTGCTGCAAGGTGTTAAACACCTGAAGGTGGAGACCAGTTACGGTACAATTGCCCGCCATGTTCTTCAGTTTAAGACGACGTCGCGTGCGTTACTTTTCTTACTAGAACACCAAAGCATGGATCATCATAAAATGATGGAAAGTCATTACGAGTTATGGAATTATATTGTTAATCGCACGCAAGGTGTTTAACACCTGAGGGTGGAGACCATTCACTTGAATCGGCGGCCAGCATCAGCAGATTATGATATTGTCGCTAGGTGTCGTTTTTAAGTCTTTAATTTGCACTTTATCGTTTAATTGGTACTTTACCATTTTTTTAAATCTTCGAATTGACATTTTTTGCGTTATTTTAGACCATTTGCAACAATTCCCTATTCGTGTTTTTTCTTTGGGGTCGATTTAGGAAATTTTTGGGATTTCGAATCTGTATTTGAATCAGCTGCTATGCTCGGTTTAGTCCCGAATCGGCGGCTGAAAGGGCGGCTACGAATCGGCGGCCCAATCGGCGGCCTACTTCAGGTTGGTTAGCTCCAGACCAGCCGAAAACATACGACAAGGTTTGAAAAATTCACTCATTTCCGCCATAATTCAGTCATTGTAATCATATAAATCATTTCTTTAGTTCAACAACAACATATTTGTCCGATTTAGACCTCCGTGAGCATTTTTCAGGCGCTAGAATAGCCGATTTTTAAGCGCTGAAGTGACGATATGCGGACGAAAATATAAGAGTTCTGAAACGTGTGTTGTTGCATGTGGGTTAGGGTGGGGGGTGCTGGACTACTCTCCAAGCAGAGGTTTGGGTTATTTTTGGCGTGTTTTGGGGCTTTTTCATCGGGGTTTCTTTCTTGCACTTGGTTGGGTGAAAAAAAATTCCAGTGCAAAAAAGAAACCCCCATGAAAAAGCCTAAAAACACGCCCAAAATAACAAACCTCTGCTTGGACTGAGAGTAGTACTCAAACTACACTTTCAGTATCTTCAACATTTTTGCCTAAATATGACTGTTTTCGTTGTAATCTGTGTAGTTACTGTGCTACATGTGAGATGTGTAAGGTTTGCTGTAGGCGTTGGTGTAACGTAAGGTTGTGTTGTGGGTGTGCATGTGTCATGGTAAAGCTGGGGGGAGGGGGTGTGACATATGGGTTAGGGTGGGGGTACTGGGCACCTCAAAGTACCTTCAACACTTTTGCCTAAACATGACTGTTTTCGTTGTAAACTGTGTATTTTCTGTGCTGTATGAGAGGTGTAAAGTTAGCTGTAGGTGTTGGTGTAACGTAAGGTTGTGTTACATACGTGTGTGCATGTGTCAGGGTAAAGCTAGGGGGAGGGGGTGTGGCAGGGTGCATCCGATATGGTATGTCTAGTGCACATTACCTCAGTCATAGTGCATTGGCAGAACATACTGCGCCTCATGCGCAAAACCCCTTAAAATGGTTTTTGTTGGATTTTTGGTCAACATTGCATCAAAATTTTGCCTGTTGCCGACAATAGTTTCACCGACATAACATTTGGAAACTACAGACGGAGTGTTAACCTTATATACACAAATATGACCTTATATGAGACGTTCTTCAGAAGTGCTATGCACAATATATTGCGGGTTTCCCGCAGGTGCAGTACATTCTGCCGACGTGCTATAAGTCATGTATTTATGATGGAAATAACATTTCAGGCAACAGAAAACAAACTGCATAAAATTTCTCTCAATGTCTCAACTAGTATGTAATATTAATACGCCCCCCTCCCCATGTATTACAACAGAAACCCTGCCCAGGGTGTGACCTTGCCGCCATGTCGGGGAAACGCCCTTCAGACGACCTTGACCCAGACTACCAGGACGTTGTCCAGCCAAACAAGCGGCTCAGGTCCATGCAGCAGGATGGTGAGTTGCCACATGGTAACACAGCTGTCAGTCACGAGTTGTTATAGAAACGTCTCAAATGGTTCAATTCTTGTGATTTGGTTTTCTCTAGTCCAACATATGGAGTAGGGTGCATAGTCTAGTGGTTTAGTGACCCTCTCTGAGGGTCATGGGTTTGAATCCCATCTGTTGTCACTCATGTCAGACATGCAAGGATCCAATTTTGGTAAGTCAGAATATTGTGTTTCTTCGACTTGTTTCCCGACCGACACTAGAAAAACCTGTCGACCCTAGTCTTTTTTGGGGGGGTGGATCCCAGCAAGGGACAATTTCCCCTACGTGCCGAACCTATTTTTTTCAGAACTGAAACAGGAAACGCCAAATTTTTTTCCCCTAATCCTACGCCTCACAGTGTCAGTGTGACTTTGGTGATAGAGACCTCACAATGTGTGTTTTTGCCATATGCCAAGTATCAATGATTTAGGAGATTCTCAGGTCTCACTCTGGAGTTTTCCAGCGACATTGGTGCTGTTAGGTCTCACCTCTGTGTTTCTGTCCCCCAGCCAAGGACGCGACGGTTCGGAAGATCGTGACGATTATTAAGGACCAGTTTTCGCAGGAGATCCGCAACAAGGAGAGGGAAATACAGGTCATCGACGAGGTAACGACCTTTCACCTTTGACATCGCAAATTTTTTCCTTGTGGGGAACTGCTGCAGACTCCTGTTGACATTCTTAGTGAAAGTTGTGTATTTTTGTTGTTTTATGAGTGAAAGTTGTTTATTTTTGTTGTCTCTTGCCATTGGCATTGAATGTTATGATTTTGTCAATATTTGTGGGAAACTGTTATCACTATCAGGCTCATATTCCCATGGCATTCTGAATCAAAAGTTGTTATTTTTGTTGTTTTATTAATGAAAGTTATTTATTTTTTGTTCTCTTCATTTTGTCAATATTTGTGGGCATCCTTTTTGGTAATCCTGACGCATTCCAACTGAACAAAAGAAAATGAAAGTTGTTTATTTGTATGTTTATTGTTGTTGTTCAGAGTGGATCCACCCATGGCCTTCTGAATCAAAGTTGTTATTATTGTTGTTTTATTAATGAAAGTTGTTCAGTTTTTGTTTCCTTAATTTGTCAATATTTGTGAGCAACCTTTTTAGGAATTCCAGATGAACGAAGGAGAGAGAAAGTTATTTATTAAGTTTATTGTTGTTGTTTCCAGCGTATCCACCAGGCGAGAGGCATGCTGGACCGGCTCCGTGCCTGCATCATCGCCAGCTACTACGGAGGGGTCGCGCAGAAACCCAACGAGGTCAGGGGTCAACCACGGTTACTGATACGCCAAAAACATTTACTCAAGCAACTTTATATGGTTTTGGATTTGCATATCAATCAATAGTTCGAACGTATAAACCTGCCTTTCTGGTAACTCTCCAGTGTCACTGACGAAAGCTAGTGGATACTACCTGAAACGTCTGACTGTTTCAAAAATCATATCCAGTTGCTTGAGTAACTGTTTTTGGTGTATCTTATTACCTGGATGTCTAACCTTCACCAACATATCACTGTTACTGATGCTCACAGTCTCCACCAGAATGATTATCCAAGCTTAGAAATAGTCAAATCTACCCAGGGCCATTCTAATTTGATTGTACATCCTCTAGGCACCACAATCCCCACTAAAAAAGTTTGGCAAAAAAAAGGCAGTTGTCTTCTTTGTACAGTTAAGGTAGTGGTCAGAGAGGTTGAATAATTTACTGAATACACAGAGCATGGTATACCAAACAATGAAGTCTTTTTTTTTCACATCTTGTTATACTATGTCATCAATTCATGTATTTCAACCCTCCTGATTTTGTTTCTAAATTTCCAGCCACCGGACCCAACTGCTGCCAACCACCCAGCCATTAAGAAGCTCATCGATAGGCCAAAAGCTGCTGCATCGGCCAATCAGACAGAGGAAACAGAAAGCTCCAACCAATCAGCAGAAGGCTCTCAGGAGGACCGTCAGCCCGAGGAGAGGGATGCAGGACTGCCCAGTCTGGAGGAAATCTGTGATTCTGTCGACAAGGTGAAAATCCTGTTAACATCAGACTCATATCAGTAGAGCAAGAGGAATACTGACGCATACTATTACATGTAGCTGGATGTCTAACCTTCACTGACAGATCAACTACAATGTGTACAAGTCTGCAGGGAAAACTTGAATCCTTCTGGATTTACCTGCTAGATCTGGCAAAAATTCATAAACTGTTTAAATACGAGATGTGAAGATGTTTAAATATGCATGTTACGGTAATTTGTTTTATTGTTCACTTCAATTTTCACCTCAAAACAAGGCTCATACGAACCAATATTACAAGTTTTGGGTTACATTAAGGAACTGTGGTCTGAGACAAATGTTTGTTCACCCTAGTGTTAAGAGAGAGTAGAGAGAGACTTGAAAAGTTTAAGGTTGTATCCATTCACAAGGAAGCTTCTTCCATAGTGATAGTTCTACACTAGGAAAGAAGTTTTGTATTTATGTGTTAATTGTTTATCCATGTTCTTTATCCAGGTTTGTTGTTTATTTATGTTTACTTGTTTATTTCCATCCCAGCAGGCTGACCCCGCCCCTGCCCCGCCCACCCAAGAACCGACCAATGACGGCAGGTTTGACTTTGAGCAGGTTCTGGGCAGGAGGAGTGCGGGAGGGCCGAGCCGCTTCTGCGTCAAGAAACGCATCATCGTGGGAAACGTCTCCAAGTAGGTGGCCGAAACTGAAAGTGCAAACTGAGCCTGACAAGTAAAAGTGAAAAGTGAGAGTGTAAAGTGAGAGTGTAAAGTGATAGGCTCACAGAAATTCCATCCAAAGGACTGGAACCCTTTCCAGTAGCTAAATAGGAAGATGTGGGATGTTTCAAATTCAGTGAATTCCTTACAAAAGCAGTGAAGAACAGGTCCTAGATTCAGACTCATCACAAAGTGAGTATTTCCTGAATCTAATATCACACTCCAAGAATCACAGTTAACACCATCAAATACTGTGGAAGATGCAGATACAGTTTGAACTAGCAGTGATAAGTAGATTGATTGGTTGGCTGATTGATTGCTTGATTGATTGATTGGTTGATTAATTGATTGGTTGATAAATGAATTTGGTTGGTTGGTTAATTGATTGATTGCTATATTTTTTCCCAGGTACATCACAGCAGACAAGCGCGAGGAGAATGACCAGTCAACCCACAAGTGGATGGTTTATGTGCGCGGCCCGCGAGAGGTCAGGGGTCACATTATGGGTCGGGGGTCACATGGGTCAGGTCAGGGGTCTTGAGGGTTGGGTCAGGGTCATGTCTGATGAACTGTAATTTGGTAACTGATTCAATGGCAGATGTTTATAACATTGTACTGTTGGTTGAATGTTTGTATTGCAATTAAAAAGGTTCATGAAGGCCTTTTGTACAGTCATACATCTCTATGGTTCATCAGGGAAGGTTAGACATCCAGGTATAAGCTGTGCCAAAAACAGTTACTCAAGCAACTGGATATGATTTTGGAAACGGTCAGACGTTTCAGCTAGCATTAATTGCAACTAGCTTTCATTAGTGACTGAGGTTGTGGATGCTACCTGAAACCTCTGTGGTTGACTGTCATCACCTTTTGTCTGTCTCCAGGCCCCCAGAATCGACCACTTTGTGAAGAAGGTGTGGTTCTACCTGCACCCCAGCTACAGGCCCAACGACTTAGTGGAGATCAGGTACGAAACACCCTGTACACCCCTGCTGCAAAGGGGGGTCATCCAATGAATTTTGTTCCAGTGTTATAGTATTATACTCAAGACCGGAACTCTTCAAAACTGCCAGCAAAACAAGAACATATTATACACATGCCCAAAGGAAAACAAACATCCTATCACTCACTTCAAGTATAATATATTCTGAACAACACGTTAGAGATGTTAACTACATACCAAACATCTCACTGTTACCCTCCTAACCACACCCCCCCCTGTTTCAGTGAGCCCCCTTCCACCTGACGCGTCGGGGCTGGGGGGAGTTTCCTGTCCGAGTCCAGCTACACTTCGTCGACCCTCGACACAAGAAGGTCGACATCATCCACCAGCTCAAGGTCAGAACGGCAAACTGTAAATGTGTAATGGGAGACCAATATTGACTGTAAACTCTGGTAGGAGACCAGCATTACCTGTAAACTTTGTCAGGTGACTAGTAGTGCTTGCAAACTTTGGAAGGAGACCAGCAGACATTTTGATGAGAAGTTATAATGGTAATCATGTTGTTTCCCTAGTGAGTTGTACTCAACCACTTGTTGTGTCTCCCCCAGTTGGACAGGACCTACACCGGCCTGCAGACACTTGGAGCCGAGACGGTGAGACTCAGACTTATTTGTTTATTTGTTAACTTGTTTATTAAAATTTTTCCAGCACATGCGTGGAGGGGGAGGGAGAACAGGTGGGTCACCTTTACCAGCTCCCTCCCCTAATTACATCAATAAAAAGCCTTTTAAAACAACAATTGAATTATACACATTGTAAGAGTAATACATAAAGATACATACTTACTCTGATTTCTTATCAGAACATTAAGTTAAACATCATATCAGATTATAACAGTTACAGCATGTAGCAGGCTACAGCAGGTGTCAAGTTACATATCAGGTTACAGCATGTACGTGTATCAGGTTACATCAGTATCATTTTCCCCCCTGCTCAGATCGTAGACGTGGAGCTGGACCGTCACCTGTTTGATGAGACAGGAACGCCGCTCTTCCCCGACCTATCCGTGCTCTCATCCGGACTGCCAGCCAAGCCTGCAGCGCCACCTGGCAGCTCCAGTGCGGAATTGCAGGCTGCCGGTTCCCCAGTTAAACCCAGCACCAGTGCAACAGCTCCCTCTAGCAGTGCGTCCGCGGAACTGCAGGCTGGCAGGTCCCCAGTCAAAACCAGCACAATCACAACAGCCCCCTCTAGCAGCTCCAGTTCAGAACTGCAGGCTGACAAGCCTCCTAGCGCTGCTGGTGAACTGCAGGCTGACAGATCTCCGGTCAAACGCGGTGCCAGCTCAACGGCTCCCTCTAGCAGCTTTGTCGCAGAAATGCAGATTGCTGGGTCGCCAGGGAAACCCAGCACCATCACAACAGCCCCATCTAGCAGCTCCAGCTCAGAACTGCAGGCAACTGCTCCTCAAGTCAAAGCCAGCGCAGCCAAGCTCTCTACTGGTGCCAGTTCGGACCTGCAGGCCACAGCGAAGCCCAGCACCAGTACAACAGTGCCCTCTAGCAGCTGCGATGTGAAACTGCAGGCCACAGTCACAACAGCTACCTCTAGCAGCTCCGGTTCAGCACTGCAGGCCACAGTGAAGCCCAGCACTAGTACAGCTGTCCCCCAGAGTAGCTCTAGTTCAAATGTGAAGCCCACTGCCAAACCCAGCACCAGTGCAGCAGCTCCACCTGGCAGTTTTGGAGAGGAACTGCAAGCCGCTAAAGCTGGGGCAGAAAAGGCGGAACCGGAGCCCAAACCTGGCCCTTCTCTGGTGCGCAGATCCCCCCGTGCGAAAACTCGGCAAGACACCAGGAAACTCTCTCCTCCTGAAGAAAGCAGCTCCAAGAAACCTCGCAAGACCCGAGAGGAAGACAGCCAGGCCAAGGAAAGTGTAAAACTTGAAGATAAAAGTCTTAAAGAAAAATCTAAAGAAGGAAAACTCGTTGCTGAAGATGTAACGTCTGAACAGAAACCCAAAATCGTCATGACGACAGCTATTCCACAATCCTCTGGGTCAATTGTGGACAGTCCGAAACCCAAATCTGTTGCCATGGTAACCAGCACAGCCACGCCCATCCCAGCCATCACCATGGCAACTGGCCGAGCCGTATCCAAGGCAACGGTTTCCCCCAAGACGTTGGTGGGAGAAGAGAAAGACAGGATGACCTTGGCGGTTCCGGTGAAGGTGAAATCGGAGCCGCTGTCTCCGATGCGAGTCTCGCCTGCAGTGGTTCCGCCGTCCCGCGAGGCGGTTCCGTTTTCCTGTATGATTGACACGAAACCGGCGCTCCTGTCCGTCCCGTCAAAGGTGGCGGTTGGACCAGTGAAAACGGCAAAACCGGTCGCGGTTACTGGCACTACCGTGGTGGGCACCCCGCCGCAGGGAATCGTCATCACCAAAATCGTCCCGACCGCCGCCAAACCCGTCACCACCGTCCAGCAGACCCTGACCTTGAAACCCGCCTCCAAGGTCGTCTCCGCGGCGACGCAGCAGCAGAACATCACCATCATCAAGCAGGTGAAGCAGGAGGCGACCATTGCCATGGCAACCCAGCCCAGCGTGGTGGTAACCGCGGGAACCGGACCAAAGACGGTTAACCTGACCTCGCCGCCGAAGGGCGCCATCTTGAAACTCTCTGGGCTGCCGGGTCAGAGTTCGCCGTCGGGGGGTCACATGATCGTGATGAGCTCGCAGCAGAGCGCGGTGCAGGCTGTTCCGAGAGTCGTCGCCTCCCCCCCAGGACAGGGCAAGGCCGTTCTGCTGAGCGGAGTCACCCCCCAGGTGAAGGTGGAGAAGCTGGGGGAAGGGAAGGTTCCGGTGACCCCGACCAAGGTCAGCAGCACGTCTCCGACTGTTCCGCCCGGCACTCCGCCACAGGTTGGTTTACAAACTCCTTAAAAGGTATCACGTATAGTCTTGAAGAAATATAGAGATATCTCTTAAATAATCTGTTACCGGTATGTGTTTTGTGTAAGAAGAGAAAAAAGTTTTTTTTTTGTTATTGAGAGAAAGATCGAGAAAATCAATGAAAAATCAGAAAACACAGTTTTGGTAATGTACTAATTTAAATACATTTTTTTTTTGGTTTCTTGCGATATACATCGCACATTCTGGTTTCTTTGCAACAAGAACCTAAGACAAAAATGTCAGAGGTCAGAGGTGATAGTTGTTCTTTGTTGCAGGTGCGCACGATCAGTGGAGCTGTGATTGGTGGACTGAGTCCCGTGTCGAAGCCTCATCCTGGTACATCAGCGGGAAATGTCGTTCAGGTTTGTTTGTTATTGATTCCTCACACCTATGGAAGGTTTAAGAGATGGAGTAATGACTGTTACTCTCATTCCGGCATGGTGAATAAGCAATGCAATAAAGTTATAAAGAAGACTGACATACATGTGTATGAAGCACAATGTCCGACACTGAAGTACATTATGGCACTGCTGGTTTCATATATATTATGTTCTAGTCTGTGGATGAACAGAATCTGCCTGGAAGTCCTTTCTCCGCTTGTGCTATGCTGGTTGCCCCCTCCCCAACAGTGTGTCTATTTTCTGCAGGTTGCTCCTCACAGATCGTCTCCCCCCCCTCAAACATTCCTAGGTGGTACAACCCTGCTCACAGTGTGTGTTTTTGTGAAGGTTGTCCCCCTCCCCCAAACATACCCGGGTGGTACGACCCTGCTCTCAGTTTCTCTGTTTTTGTTGTACAGGTTGCTCCTCAGCAGATCGTGTCCCCCCCTCCAAACGTCCCGGGTGGTACGACCCTGCTGACCCCAAACGTGATGAACCTCCCTCTGGTGAACGTCGCGCCGGGAGCGAAAGTTTTCCTCGCCGCAAAATCCACCGACCCGGCCATGAAAGGGAAAGTGATCCTCATCCCGCAGACCGCCATCGTCAAGGGCATCCCGCTCCAGCAGGGAGGTCAGGGGTCGGGGGTCACGGTGCTGCAGGGGTCGCCGGTCGTCCCGGGGGTCAACATGCCAGCGCAGGTTGTAGGGGGGTCCCCCCAGGGAGGGAATATCGTGCACGTGGTACAGGGGGGTGGGCTGGCCGCACAGGGGGCCAGCCCCACTCCTACTCTACCCACACAGGTCGCAGGTCAGTCTTTTTATTTTTATTTTTATTTGTTTTATTTATTTATTTATTAATTTCCGTCATATTTAAACAGGGTGACTCCATTTTCAATAACGTTTTTGAAAAATGAATGTACATCTATGAATGCAATTCAGCTTTCTGCTGCAATGTTCGTGATTTTAGCAATAAACCATTTTGATTGATGATTGATTGAATGGTATGGAGGGGTCAGAGGTCAGGCCAACTTTTACATTCCAGTGTCCCAGGGTGGTGCGGTGCAGGTGACAGGTCAGAGGTCGCAGGGTGAAAGGTCGTCGCCGGGTGTGGCCCAGACGGTGAAGGCGGGGTCGACGATCACGCTACCTCTGCAGCCCGGGACGTCCTACATCCTCATGCAGCAGCAGCCCCCGGGGGGTGCCTCCACCAGCGGGAACGTCCCCGGCTCTTCCCCCAGTCGCCCCTCCACCCTCATGGTGCAGCAGCTGGCACAGGACCAGGCTGGGAAGACACAGGTGGGACTGGCTTCATTTTTCAATTTTCAGTTTCAGTTTATTTATTTCGCCAGCAAATACTACACTCAGGTACAAAAAAACATTACAAAAAAGTATTAAGAAAACACCTACGATACAGAGAACTCACACAGTTTTACATGTACCTCTCTATACTCTCTATACTCACTTCACTCTCATCAGAAAGGAAAAGCAGGGCTGGAAATACTTGGCGCATAGTAGGTTTACCTAAAGTGAATTTTGAGCCCTGTACAGCAAACATTAAAAAACATGTCAGAGCTTGAATGCTTGTCAGTGTTGGTAGAAATCATTATGAAGTAAGGTTGGTGAAGGTTAATCATCCAGGTAATAAGATTTATGCCAAAAACAGTTACTCAACCAACTTGTTCTGCTTGTTTTACAGATGCAGGTTGCCCCACAGCCCAGCACCAAGCCCATGCAGTCCTTCCGGATCATACCATCGTCCACCCAGGCGGGTGGGCAGTCCCCGACCGCGGACTCCGGCGGCAAGGCGGGACCGAGCGTTGCCACGGCAGGAGGTCACACCTTCATCGCGCTCACACCGCAACAGCTCAGCCAGATCGGCAAACCTGGCGCGCAACAGGTAGCTGCAACTCTTCTTAAGCATCTTTAGGCCTTTTTAAAGCATCTTGAAGTCCTTTTAAGCATCTTGAAGTCTTTTCAGAGCGTCTTGATAATCTTGAGAGATCTCAATCTTGAGAGATTTTCAAAGCATCTTCAAGCCATGGGCTTCTTACCTACATATTCAAAGCATATTGACATTCTTTCAAAGCATCTTTTCAAAGCAGATTTTGTTTAAGAAATCTCAAGATGAAGTCAAAACATCTCAACAAGTCTCAAGATGTAGTTGAATTATGGCAAAGTATTAGATCATTTGTAATTTTTCAGAAAACTATCAGATTGTAATGAAGTCAAAGAGTCTGTGTGCATTAGTCCACAGTGCTCTGCTCAACCCAAAGAAATCTGCTAACTGTTAACACTGCCACTTTGATTTATGGATATGCTTTTGTTTTGAAGCATCAGATTTTATTTGACTGTTGTTCACCTTTTGTTGCTTGACTAAATGTAACCATGTCTAATGTCCTGTGTAAATGTATGCTGGGCTCCATTGCAAAACAGCTTCTACAAGCTGAATGGACTACCCAACTGCCGTTTTATGATGAAATAAATGAATGCCCCCACCCCCCAGCAGATTGGAGCGGGCCAGACCCTCCTGGTTCCCGTGCAGAACGTGCAGATGGCGGGATCGGGCGCGGGAACCTCCCAGCTCGTCACCAAGTCCGCCTGTACGCCGACTGTTCTCACCCCCTCCCCCTCCCACCGCGCAGGGAACTCGCCTGCCAAGGTCAACACGCCGGCCAAGGTCACTAAAGACTCTTATTTCTTCAAATCAATTCTTTACTATGTTTATATACTGAAAGAAAACATTGTTTTTGCTCAGTTTCTTCTTCCTCTTCTTCTAATTCTTCTCCAAACAGTGACCTCAATGACCTGCCAAGGTCGCCACACCAGCCAAGGTCACTAAAGACTTTAATTTCTTCAAACTTTCAATTCTTTATGTTTACTGAAGGAAAACATTGTTTTTGCTCAGTTTCTTCTTCCTCTTCTTCTTCTTCTCCAAACAGTGACCTCAGTGACCTGAACCTATGTTGTGTCTGTCACCATGGTAACTGGTGTTGGGTTACATCATGTATATCTTGTTGCAATTTTATAGCAGGAGGGACTCCTGTCTGTCCATATATATGGATGTGTTTGAGTAAGAATTACCAGAGCAGACCATAATACTTTTTGGTACATGTTGTTAAAGATTTGTACATTTTGTTTCATCCAAGGTCACCTCTAGTCTGCAGAAGAGCATCCTGCAGATGAAGCTGGGGTCACAGGTCACGGGGTCAAGGGCCACGGGAACATCTCCCACCCCGACCTTTGACATTATTGAGCTGATGGCCCGGAAAGTCTGGTGAGCTGGGCTGGTTTTGAATTACAGATTTTTGGGGAAAAATGCCAAATTTTAATTTTTTTTTCACATTCGAACACTATATAGTAGATCCATGTTGTTCAAGATAAATGCATTTTGTTTCAAACTTGATTATGCCGCATGATTTTTTTAGAAATATTTATTACGAAACACGAGTAAATGATATCTTTGTTTCAGTTATGATGCACATACCAGTAGACATTTTCTACACTTCTGAGAGATTCCATACTTTGTATCGATGACATTTATTCTGAATATTCTGGAGTTTTCTATGTGTTCCTGTGATGATGCCTTGTTCTAAGTTTTACCCACAATCCCTTGCAGCACGTCAGGCATTGAGACAAAGGAACAGCTGATTGGTGCTGTGGTGCGGCACGTTCCACTCGTGGACCCAAACAGGGGTGAGCAGCTTTAAGTTACCTATGTCTCTCTTCCTTCTCTAGTAACATAATTTTCCAATTGTTTGTCTTCTGAGAAGATTTTGGTTTCAAGCTGTTTTTAAATGTCAGCTTTGTTAGCTTTCGTCCGCTCCCCAAGATCCGCTCCCCGTGAAATCAAAAAAGGCTGACACTCAGGCTAGTTTGTGAATGCAGGAAAAACAAATTCTGACAGAATTATCATGTTTGCTGGTTGTTTGCCCTTAGCCAGCAGCCCAGACACATGACTGACATGTTTTATTTATAAGACAATTCAAACTCTGTTCAAATTCCATATTTAAACTTTTAAAGTGACCAGTGTTACTCGATAGATAACAGAGATGTCTTCCGGACGTTTCAAGCGACATCCGTCACTAAATGTACTGAGAGCACATGACTAACAGTTTACATGACTAACATGTTTGTTTGTTTGTTTGTGTTTCCTCCAGCCTTGAGCCAGCACCCGTACTGTGCCCAGACCCGTCAGCAGTTTTTCGGCTGGAACGTCGGCAAGCAGCGCGCAGCCGAGTGGCAGCGTTCCGTCGCCGTCAGGAAGGTCATCGACAAGGTCAAATCCTCCAGCCAAAAACTCGCCCTGCCCACCCCCACCACCAGGGAGATCATGGACTGGTCCAGGACCCATGGATACACCCCATCTGCATACAGTAAGGAACCATCAAGACAAACGTCTTAACTTGCACATGTTCTTACATGATTCCTCAACTAGACACATCCCCTTCACATAATAGACTATTCCATGGCTTTTATAGCTTCTAGGAAAGCATACTTTCTGATGTCATACAAAATCCTACATTTCTTGTAATTTTTGTGATATCAGTCACAGCTGGTAGTGAGTGAAGTAGAATACCTAACATGGTACATGATTGTGAAGAACAGAAGCTAGTATGTGTGGAATGTTGCTGTCTCATGTTTAGGGCTTTCAGTGACAATTTCGTCTCAAATTTACATGATATTTTTTAGGGCTTTCAGTATCAATTTTGTCTCAAATTTACATGATATTAGACACATTGAAGGAAGATAAAACCTACTGTGAGCCTTGTGAAACAGGTAGAGTAAGTCTGTTGTTTGTGTTTAGATGCGCTGAAGGAAGATGAAAACTACTGCGAGCTGTGTGGACAGAAACTCCGGGCAAAGCTGAGAACGGCTCACGAAGACTGCCTCCGATTCTGGGCTGCAAACGGTGAGATTTGCTGAGACAAACTTTAAAGAAGTATAGTATATAGTGGAACAAATATGTGTATCATTATTTGATTGTTGTGATTTGTATTGATTATTATGTGATACCCTGCATCAATTCAGCCATATAAAAGGCTGCGACTGCACGGGTACTGTTTGGACAATAAAAACCATTTATTATTATTATTAATAATATTATTGTTATACTTTTGTCCAGTCTGTCTACTAGTGTTATCATGAAAGTTCATCTGTGTTGGTAGTTACATGTTTAGAGTTAAAACTTTTGGTCCAACACAAAAAATTCTCTCACCTAGAGCTTTATAATACCTGCATACAGTAAGGAACCATCAAGACAAACCACCAATCACTCTGGTCTTCCTCTGTACAAAGCTTGTCTGTCACAACCAGTGGAACAATAACTCAACTGTTAATTGTACTTGACAAAAAGAGCTAGAGGAAATGTACCCTGTGTAAATACAATGTACTGTACATAGCATCTGTCTTCTCTGTCAGGACTAGTGGAATTATCTTATTTACCACCATGTAAACATTGTTGATGTAACATCTAACGGTCCAGAGAAAATAGACTATGATAAACATCAGTTATGAACGTTTGTTTCTTCCTACCAGGCCCCCCCTCCAGCTGCAGTGGTTCGGCCGACCTGTGTCAGATGTTAGAGGACACCAAACCTTCCCAGCATGCCGATGACAACGACCTGGAAGTGGATGTCATCTCGCTGGGTCAGGAGACAAAGGTCAGGGGTCATGGTCACAGGTCGCATTGTTGTGTTGTGCGAGTTAAGATTTTCAGAAATAGATTAATATTTTCTATGCCAACATAAGAGAGTCATTGTGCCAACCAATCAAACTGCTTATTACAAACAATGAACACTGTCATATCGTGCAAAAAGACCTCCAGGCCAATGAGAGCACTTCTTACAAACCTACCACATTTTGAACCAACCAATCAGCACCCTTGTTCCCCAGGTGCTGGTGAAGCAGTCCAATGGATGTACTGTCCAATCAGGACACTTCTGACAAACCTACCACATTTGAACTGACCAATCAGAGCACCTCCCTCTTTGAACTGACCAATCAGCACCCTTGTTCCCCAGGTGGTGGTGAAGCAGGAGCCAATGGATGAAGAGGATTAATCAGAGCACTTCTTAAAAATCTGCCACATTTGAACTGACAAATCAGAGCACCTGCCACATTTGAACTGACCAATCAGAGCACCTCCCACATTTGAACTGACCAATCAGCACCTTTGTCCCGCAGGTGGTGGTGAAGCAGGAGCCAATGGAAGAAGAGGATGACCACCCGCGGTTTTTCCTGCCGATGTCGCCTGCCGCAGAATTCGTGCACGACACCGCACAGAAGGTCAGAGGGCACAAATCGCTTTACTCTCTTCCTATCTTGCTGGAACCATTTGCAAAGTTATGAAAAAGTGAAGAAGACTGAAGACTTTTTCTTCTGTAACCTCCCATGAAATTACATGTACAAGAAAGCAGGGTTTTACATTGTTTTAGGCTGAAGACTCTTCTCCTTTTTTCCTTCAGCTGGGAGTGAAACTGGAACCTGTGGAGACGACTAAAGACATGTTCTCACCTGTCCTGGAGGAGATGGTCCTTAAGGTACCTTCCCTATTTCTTAAGACTCAAGAGTGCAGTGTAAGAGATTGTACCTGTATTGAGTAGCAACACTTTTCACTGAAAAGTTCAAATCCAATCTAAATGCAGACAAAGCCAACGTTTGGTTGCAGATGACTTGTTTATCAAGGATGTTCTATCTGGTATATCTGGTATTTTTAACTTGTCTTGTTTTGAGTCGTTTTCCTCCCCATATTCTGAACGTGTAACCTGATCTGCCTTCCCAGGCTGCCCTGCTGTTCACCAATGACGTGCTGCGTGGTGCTCTGGCGAGCGCGTACGAGCGGAACAACCTCAGCACACTCAGGTGGGCACGCCCTAATATGGTACCCATTTGTCAGAGTGACTTGTCCTGTCACACGAATGTGATATACATGTACTGTATGCCCTGATATGGTACCTGTGTGTCGCTAGTAGCTGATATGTGCTATACAATCATGTATTACATGCATATGTTCAAATATGGATGCCTGAAATGATTCTCCTAGCTGCCAAAAAAATCTACTTTCCAGGAATTTAGAGTAATGTGTAGAATGCAATGATTTGAGAGGTCCTGCTACAATTTATGTGAACTTGAACACACAGGCTCTACATTGAAAGTACCTGCAGGCCTCCTAGTCTGGGGTTTGAACCCCCAACCTGCTGGTCCAGAAGCATCATCACAAGCTGTCTACTGATCATCATCATCATTGTCTACTATTGTTGTGCACTGCTGTTGTGTGCTGATGTTGTTTACTTTTCATTGTTGTTATTTACTGTTGTTGTTTACTGTTCCAGACACGCCCCTCCCATCATCCTCCCCAGCCACATCCACCAATCAGTGAGCTCCAACCCGTCATGTGACTTCCTCACCAACTGCCACATGGGCGTGGTTGCCATGGAGAAGGAAGAACCACCCGCATCATGAACAGGGCAGTAACCATGGAGACGGTAACCATGGAGATGGTCACCATGGAGATGGTCACCATGGAGATGGTTACCATGGAGATGGTCACCATGGAGATGGTCACCATGGGGATGTTCACCATGGAGATGGTCACCATGGAAACAGTTACCATGGAGATGGCAACCATGGAGACGGCTGCCATGGAGATGGTTACCATGGAGATGGCTACCATGGAGACAGTTACCATGGAGACAACTACCATGGAGATGCCTGAAATAAACATAAAACATCCAGAACTGCCTGGATATAGAGATAAAAGACTTGACTGGAGACTATTTTAAGGGACTAAAGAAAGGAGAATTGTTCTTTTTCAGATTCCTGCTACAAAAATCCTTCCAACTTTTCTGCTTTTCATTTGCAGCCATCTAGATGGAGGAATATTTGTTTTTCAGACATTTCTATTGTATAACTCCAAATTCGATGGTTCTCACTGCCAGTCTAGTAAGGTGCAGTACCTTCCTGCAGTACTAGGGGGAGCTCCAGCATGTTTCTTCCTGACAACAAAACTTAACTCAGTTCCTGTCCTTCAACCTTCCATAGAGTGGAACAGGAGAAAGTGATAGCTTTCCACCCTGCTATAGTTGATTAAGAGTTCCCAAAAGTCATCCCAAAGAACACAAACACTGCAACCTTCTCTGTGACGGCCCTTTTATTATCTTCCAAAGACAAAACACATACAAAATCGGCATTATCAATACACTAATCAATAAATAAGTAATAATTGATCGCTTCACGTCACGTGTTCGTGGCGAGTTCACAGTCAGTTGTAATAAGTTAGAGAATATTTCCGTCTTCTTTTGAAATATTTGGTCTTAAAAGTCTTTAAAATGTCTAAGCGAGTTCCTAAGACAGCATCGCCAAGCTTGCCCGCTCAAGCAACTGGGACACCCCCATTTTGTAAGTGTAATATTCCAACTGCTGCCTCTCAACAGGTGTTGGACAGAACCACTTTTGTAATATAGGGGTGTGCAGTGAAAAGAGGCAGAAATGATCGGCAGTTTTGCAGACGATGACTTAAAAGCATGAATAGTTGCAAAGGACGTCTTTTTTTCTGGCCAGTGCAAAATGTGTACGTTGTTATCGCTGTGAAATATGTAAAAGTGGCATATTTGTAAAAACTAGCGTCGACTAACAGTATTAAAATCCAGCTGGTTCCATATAGAAATTTCCAGTGACATTAAAAATGCACAATATTCACAAAATTCCAGTCACAAATTATACTTAGATAATATCTTGCTCACATAAATTACTATATTTGTCCAATAAATTACCATATTGTCAACACTTCCTGATGATTGTGCAATTTCTCCCTACCTGGGCTGTTCCCTTCTAGCGCCTCCCTCCCCCTGGAAAAGGGGTCCTGGTTGGGGAAACGTCCAATTGCATTGATGTGTTGCAAACCTTGAGTGTTTGTAGATGGGAGGGAGGGAGCCACTAGAAGGAAGAGCCAACACTAGTCTACTTTACCCGTGTACTTGTTGACCTTACGATACGCTCCTGACATTCGGAACACCTTACAGGTAAACACACCTGTTGCTACAGGTAAGCACACCTGTCTCTAGGACACATTCACGATAATGTTACCTGTTTTCCACCATCTTGGATTCATCACGCGACCTCTGCACTTTGACCTACCCAGAATCCCTAGGACTACATTGTTCTACCACCACACGACTTTCGAAAGTGTTGTTTTTGAACTTGTGTACGAAGGTCAAGGTTAACACAAGGTGGTTATCTCAATTGTAGGTCAAGGTTCAAGGTCACAGCACAGAACCAAGATGGCAGTGAAACTGGACACCAGTACCCACAATTCACCATCCTATTCCTCACTACTATGTAACCTTCATTCATCCCTTCTCATTGACCTTGCAAGGCCTGAGTTCTGAGACCCTTTGGTTACCCAAGATGGGCAAAAACCAGGAATATGTCCTCCAGAACTGAGTATCATTGCTTCAGATGGTGCAACAACATCTCGTTTTTCACATTTTGCCCAAGAAGCCTGTCTGGCAGTGGAGTTGGCCAGCCAGCAGCCTACAAGGACGTTCAAGGGCAAATTTCTGGCTCAGTCTGGCAGTTTTAGTCAGACCACAACTATGTGGTGGTCTGCTACATGTATACTCCATATTAGGAAGGTGTCTAAATGGCTCCGCCCCAGAGGTGGTGCCAAAAACACCCCGGATAACCAATGCCTTACAACTTTTAGTCTCCACCAGACACCTTTGCAGGCTGAATAAATAGTAGAAATCGGCCTAAAAGGTAAACTGGAGGCAAACTGGACCCTCTATGGCCGTCAAACTCTTCTGGCCAATGATATCCCCCTTTTAGGCCGATTTCTTCTATTTATTCAGCCTACAAAGAAGTCTGGTGGAGACTATACAACTTGTACTGGGCAGCTCTTCAGACGATCCGCTTCATCAATTGAGAAGCAACCTTCTGAATTTAACCACCTCCCTCCAAACCAACTTTTCCTACCCTGTTCTCATACAGGTACAGAACTCATCACATCTCCACCATAATGTTCTTTTAGTGTGGTGGAGACGCAATTAAGTCAAGTCCTGTCCCAAATCTCCAAGCAGATGTTACGAGCGAGGATCAAAACATTTTCTAACCACCAATTTTACGAGTGGCTGGTCAGGAAATGTTTAGTTGTTCCCTCGCTGCATCTGCTTGGAGATTAACATCTGTGTCCATAATATCACCAGGGTCCATAATATCGCCACCTTGAGAAATAGTGTGCTTAAAGATATTTTTACTGCAACATACTTTTGGTATGCACTCCTATACACATCAAATGTACATACCTAGCTATAGGGTATGTTGCAGTAAAATATCTTTAAGCACACTATTTCTCAAGGTGGCGATATTATGGACCCTGGTGATATTATGGACACAGATGCTACATCACTCACATTCAGAAACTCTCTTCGCATTTCTCTGCTATCAGACGTCTACAAAGGAATGAAACTTGCAGCTTAATAACAGACATGATCAGAACGTCTACATCATACATGTAACACAGGCAAAGAGTCGACTGAAACGCTTGAAGTTTTTCTGTGGTTTCTAACATCAGAAGCAACCTACAGACTGTCACTGTGGACTTAAAGGAGTTCAAGGGCAAATTTTTACCTCAGTTTGGCTTTTCTATCAGTTAGAGATGGTTTCCTTTGAGGAGAGTAGTTCACTTTGTGGAAGGATAATTTCTGGTTGATAAAGTTCTGTCACAAAAGTCCCTAGTACTTTTGGTTCATATAAAGTTCATAAAAAATCAGGCAACTTCAGAGAATACCGGTATGATTTTTTTGTTCGAATGCAGTCTTATCTAATGTACATTGTAGTACAGAAACATGGATTTTAGAAAAGTGGCCGTAGAACTTTTTTTTACAAATTTGATCTGATGATCTTTTATGACCTTGAAATGACCTTCATCCTCCAGTGACAGCCTGCAGTGTTAGCCTATAACCTCTGACCTGTGGCCTGAGGTGACCTATGACCCGTGGAAAGGTTGTGAGTTCTGTAGTTTTTTTTTTAAATTTTCCACTGGGCATTTCTGTGCACACTGCATCTGCTGTGGGGGTCGTCTCATAAGTTCAAACACTGTTTCTAAACAAAGTCATTTTCATTCAGGGGAAGTGGTTGATGTAACGTTACACAGAAATAAATATCGTCAAGGTTAATTTCTTCTTTGGAGTAAGGAAAAGGAACCAAAATTAACCTGCCGGAAATTTTGTTTAGAAACAGCGTGAACTTCTGAGACTGCCCCCAGGTATACGTCTCCCCTGAGGAATTGGACAGAAAAGGTCGCTGACCGATTACAAGGTCGTTCCAGCCTCTTTGGAGGTAATTTTGATCCTTCAGTTTCTAATAGTTAATTATGCTGCAGCAGTTCAAGGTTACTCATTGCCCAACTTGAGTAAAATTTTTCTGAAAGCCAAAAATCTTGTCTTTGTTCTTAAAACTAACATATTTTTGTAGCTGCAGCATTTAAGATACATCAGAAAGGCACTGGCCCGGCCTGAGAACTTTCATTTGGGTCGAATTGACTTGGCAGAACCCTGAGTGACTCCAATTGCTTTTCCAGGTGCCCCCCCTCCCCCTTCCGGAACGTGACCTTCATGCCAATTGACAAGGTGATTTGATATCAAGTTACTGAAATGTCATGATGGGTTTTTTTTTTTTGTGCATCTTGAAATGTTGGAACAGAGGACACGCAATATGCCATGGCCATTACAACTGTACAGTTTTGTTGATGCAAGAAGGTTGATTTTAACCTCCTTGGTTGATGTGACTGTGAGTAAATGCAAATGACCTTCAATTTGAAGGTCATTCAAAAAGAACATTAATGTCGTCCTGTGGAGGATTGTCTGCAAGATTTTCTTTTAAAAAAACACAATAATTTCAATGAATTTCTATCTTCCTGAGACTCAGAGATTAATGTTTTGGTTCCTTTCTTGAGGAAAATCAGCAAATCTTCATTTTTTAACGACCGTTTTTTTTCTACCAACGATGAGCGACCTTCTCTGTCCACTTCCCAAGGGAAGATCCCTTCTATCTGCTCATAAATCTGTATTTTCCTGAGTAACGTTGAATCTGTCTGTGTGTGTCAAAATACTCTATCAAAACAGCTGTGTTTTTCCCCCGTTTTTACCCCAAAGCTCGAGAAGAAATTTTACATATGTACAGCAGATCAGTCTATACAAGTAGAAGACCTGAGATCTCATCACTTATTACTAATTACACCTCTAATTAACTTTAGGAGGTAACGAGGAATGCCTCCCTCTGTGGGGGCCGCACGTCGGCAGAACGTACTGCACCTGCGCAGAACCCTGGATTTTCGCGGTTTTCGAACGATTTTTGGTCAACGGTGCATCAGAATTTTGCCTGTTGCAGAGGATATCTTTTCCAACACAACATTTGGAAACTACAGATGAGTGTTAACCTTATATGCGCGAATACGACCTTATATGAGACGTTCTGTCGAAGTGCTATGCACAATACATCACGGGTTTCGCGCAGGTGCAGTACGTTCTGCCCACGTGCTTGTGTAGGCCATGTTTCTGGGATGGCCTAATATGTACGGCATGCAGCTTACATCAGTAACTGTACACAAGTCTGTCGGGCGTTTTAAGTTTTTTCCCGCCCTTTTGGCTATAGAAAATGCAACAAATGTTGGCTATCAGGTTACAAGTCTTTCTGGGGTAACCCTGGTTTATCAAACGTCGAGGAACGCTGGTGTGAATCGTTCCCATGGTAACGGGGCCATGGCAACTGTTGTCATGCATAGCACGGGAAAAACATAACATAACATGGCTGCATTCTCTCTGGCTTGTCAGAGTTCCTTCACAACTTTGCACTGGCATTTTTTTCCGTCTTTCATTTTTTCCTGCTGAAGCTTGCAGCTCAGCTTTTTGCCACAGCTCGATTGCCACATTTATCTACTATCCTGCAGCTGCAGATTTCCCGTGTCGATCTGCCACATTAAGGGTGGAAGTTGCCACGTGTAGCAATCCTCTCTGTAACAATTTGCAACAAGGGAACACAAGGGGGACGGGGTAGCAACAAAGGAGAGAAACAGACGATTGCTTCGTAAACAGACTCTTTTTGGTTTGTTGAAGAAAAGAATGACGTGGTCTCACCACAGCGTTCCATATGACCCGGGTGCAGAAGTGCTGTATGAACGCTACCTTGGTGAGAGACCTTAAGCAAAGATTGTCGTCCAGTGGGAGGTACCAATCAGCCGCATGCTGACCACCCCTACGAGAGGGAGTGGCGCAGTCCACAGGCTGACCAGACTGCTGAGTTTTGGGTCGATCCATTTGGGCTGTAGGGGTGGCAACAGCTGCCTGCAGCTGGCACCACACCGACACCGTCTTTGGAAAAACAGGACTGAGTTTTTTTTTCAGCCGACAGTTTTTGGTTGAGTTTCGCTTCAGCTGCACCCAAACCACACGGAGCACGTTTTTGTTTTTACACACTAAAACAACGTCGGTCTGTACAGTTCAGGAAAAACGGGTACCACACGGACGTTTTCTTACGAAACGGGTATCATGTCGACGTTTTGGCTGTGGCCTTGCTGCGGGAGTTTGTTCTCCTCGTACTGTCGCTGGCAGCTGGCGTCGTGCGCCGCCGCGTCCGCCGGGTCCAAACTCTGCCGCCACTTGTCGAGGACCGTACCATTCGGCGACGGGATGGACAGGTACAACCCGCGGCTGTTTCTTTTCCGGTTTCCATTGCAACCAGGACTTCCGCTCGCCGACCCCGCGGAACTCGGAGACGGGAAGTCGAGGTCTAACCTTCGCTGGCGATACACGACCGCCGGGTCATGCAAACTCGGCGTGCTCGACGCTGAGCTGCTCGAGGAAAACCCCGGGCTGGAGTCCGGCTCAAACTTTCGGTGTGTTCCCGTCTCCCCCCTGCAGTTTTCGTTATATTGCAAGCTCCTTGACGCGGAGCTGCTCGAGCTTAACCCCGGGCTGGAGCTCATCCGTAGGTCAAGTTCAAACTTCCGATGTGCTCCCGGCTCCCCCTTGGGACTCTCGTTGTATTGCAGGCTCCTTCCGTGGCTTGACGCTGGAGAAAACCCTGGGCTCCTGTTGGTTTGGCCTGACTGCGAGTTAAACCCTGGACTGGAGCTCATCCGAACGGCCTGCGCAAAGTCTAGCTCAAACTTCCGGTGGACTCCCGGGTCCCCCTGGCAGTTCTCGTTATACTGCAGGCTGCGGTTGAGGCCCTGCGGACAGCTGACGGAACGGCAGGGACTCTTCCGCAGGCGGTTTCTACGGAAACGTACGCGGCTGAAGTCGTGGAGGATCTCGACCTGGTCCTGCTCCGACTCGCTCCCGGAACTCTCGGCGCTCCGCTCCGCAGCGGCCTTCGTCGTTTTCTCTGTACCGGACTTCGGGTTCTGCTTGTTGAAGCACAGACCTTCAAACACAAGAACAAGATTCAGATTTTGTTTGTTTATTGTTTGTTTGTTTGTTTTGCAGATATGGTACAAGAAATAGTCAGCCCTTCAGTACCAGACTTTTATCAATGCACACACACACAGACACACACACACACACACACATACACACACACTCACTCACACATACACACACACACACACACACACACACACAGGCACACACACACACACACAGACACACACACAGACATGGGCATTATCATTAGATAGCTTTTAACAATGTTTAGAGTTACAAATGTAGATGTTCAAGGGTTAGGTGTAACAAGAATATACAAACCTGTGGACAAGCCAGGTACGATGTAGGGCATCTCCAGGCAGTGTTTCACGTTCAGCGAGAACGAGCGTTTCACCTGCCGCATGTCCCGTACAGGCGCTGTATTGCTTAGTGATTTGGCCGCGTGGGTCTGGGACGGGGAGGTGGCGTCTCTCTCTTCCTTCCACCGCGCCTCGTTCGACTTGTTGTCCAGCAAAACGTCGCAGAAGAGAAAATCTTTCTCATCTGGATCCTCCATGGAATCCTGGGGAGGGACAAGACAGGCATTAGCAACTGGGATAAAAATAATTATGTTTGGTGAAGGAAAACATATTGTTTTTGCTTCTTTGTTTCTTCTTCTTCCATTCCAAATGCTGGCCTCTGACCTGGTCAAAGATCTGAACCAGACTGTCTCTCACCATGGTAACTAGTGTTATAACATGATTACATAATGTTGCGATTTTATAGCAGGAGGGATTTAGACTCCTGTCTGACCATATATGTGAAATGTGTTTGAATAAGAATTAATAGAGCAGACCATATACAAAGGTAAACATTATGCATTTGCTTTGCAAATGTTATCTTTCTAGTGTAAATTTTAAACTAGAAGGAAATACATCAATCGACAATCATGTTTACTTCCACACTGTCTAGCCTAGCAAACTACTCTGCTCAAACACAGTGATCATAACTCTGTCCTGCCACTTGCTACATTATGGCGGGTTGGTACTCAGGATGACAGGTGTGTTTACCTGTACAGGTGTGTTCACAGGTATGTTTACCTTAGCCTGGAGGTCGAGCCTTGCGGGTTGTTCGATGACGGCAGATGCTGCCCGTCGTTCCGTCAGAAGTTTCTCGAACTCCAGCAGCTGCCCGAGGAAGTTGAAGTTGGGCGAGATCGACGGCCTCTTGTCCTTCACGTATCTGTAGAATGGAAGGAACATCTTAGCTACGTCTCAAGATGTCTTAGGTTTGTCTCAAGTTGTCTTGAATATGTCTCTAGACAATTCTTCACAGACAATAGACAGTGGAACGTAAGGAATGCCTCAGCTGTGTCTTAAGAAGTTTTATGTTTTTCTTAAAATGTCTTAAGTATGTAGACTCTCAAGATATTTTAGCCATACAATGTACTTACAAATTAAAGGACAGAATGTCTGAGATCTATCTGTGGCAATGTTAATTTTATTCTTCCTTATTGAGTATTGTTGGAAATCCTTTTAGTTAGTTATGATTACGCGCAAATATTATCATGAAAGTTCATCTCTGTTGGTAGTAATCATAGTAAAACTTTATTCCAGCAAAACTGGTACACACTAAGATATTGTTGTTGAAAATTTGATCTCTGTGTACCCGTTGTGTTGGAATAAAGTTCAACATTTCACTACTGAACATGAACTGAACTGAACATGAACACATGAACTCGAAGGACTGTCCCTAAGAGAGCCCTGAGTTTTACCTGTATGCATCGTCGGAGCTGAGGTTCAGGTTTGTGTACAGGTGTGTTTACCTGTATCCCTAAGTAAGACAATCCTAGCCTTAGTTTTACCTGTATGCATCATCAGAGCTGAGGTTCAGATGTTTCATGACAAAAGCGATGCAGGCCGTCGCCGAGCGAGACACGCCCGCCATGCAGTGCACCACCACACAGCCGTTCGACTCGCGTACCATGTCTGCAAAATAATAAACAAACAATAAACAACAACAAAGAAACAGCATTACACAACCATTTCACACTCCAACCTTGTCTGCAAAACAACTTAATGGGGATTGATTAAAAGCCTGAATATAGTGCATCTACATATTTGTTTTTTTGTTGCAATGATAAAAAAATTAGGCAGGCAAATCAGAGAACCGAGACATTAATTTGGTTTGGCCATATTGTGACTTACTAGTTGTTGCAACACAAGCAAAGTGTTAGCTTACACGTACACAGTTCTGACAAAAAAAAAAGGAAACTGATGGAAGGGGGCACATCAATACAAAAAAGGAAGAAAAAAAGAGTGACTTACCGATGAACTCGATGATTTTGTCGAACCAGGGGAAAATCCTCTCGGCGTAGTTGTCGTTTACGGGAATCCGCAGAAAGTGGGTGTCTGGAACGTAGTCGGGCTTCGGACACGTCACGCTGGTGTTCAGCACGTAGTTTATCTCATAGAACTCCATAACCTCCTGGTAAACAAACAAACAAACGTGGTGTTGAGTAGAAATCTATAACCTTCAACAAACAATTGTGAAAAACTGGAAGAGCAAAAGTTTTTCCAATAGAAAAAATTCTTTGAGCCATAAAAAACAATTAGTTACACCTATAACTGTTGATAATAAACCTTTTTGTAGTCAGTTCCCCCTATTCCATGATGGTTTCTCCCTTATTTCCTTCCTCCCCTCTCCTTAAATGAGCCGGTCTAACTCCCAAATGGCATTGCTACATTGAAATTCATATTAGTAACCAAGATGGCAGCCAAGTCTGAAGACTGTGCACCTTTAGGTAAGTACACCTCTATAGTTTGTATGGACAACAGAAAGTTATTACGACATGACTGTGCATTATTTTGGCTGCTGTATTATGATAACAAATTACAGTCTGGACTGTCAAACTTGCCATGACAGAAAAATAAGAACTGGTGATTCAGAAATATGTATGGTAGGAAGTTTTAGTGTAAATGATGATGTTATGTATAGTATTTAGTACATGCCATGTTTCTCATGTTAAAAGCTAGTGTGGATTTCCTCTCACAGTGGAGGTTATAAGGTGTAACACTATAATTATCTGATGCCTTAAAGTTTTACTTAAAAAAAATACTTACTGCATACAAAGTTGCCTAAGACATAGAAAGGTACTAAATTTAATAGTCTTTGATATACAGGCTTTGTCTGTGAATTTTTCCTGTTGTAGTGGAGATTCTTATAAAGTTAACTTAGGCCACACCAATTTAATTTGTTGGTTCTCGGATTTTTTCAGAAAAAATATGAAGCGACAGGGCGAAAAAAAATAAATAAAAACAGGTCTAGGCATCCTATTATAGCCCCAAATGCTACAATATGAGCCATGAAGTCAACAAAAAAGGCCAGCTGGGTTAAAATCTAAAGTATAAATTTTGAACTTTTAATCAAACCACTGCATTGATAGATGGAAAAAGCTGTAACAACTAGGAAGAAAGGGACTTTCCTCAACTGTTGGGGGCAAAATATGAGCATTTTTGAGTTGATTCAGAACCAGAATCTTTTTTTTTTTTGCAAATCAGAAAAAAATGAAGAGGCGAATCCGAGAACCAACAAATTAAATTGGTTTGGCCTTATATTGGTGTGGGGAGGACTTTTGGTGTGTGCGCGTCATGTGTAAATTTGGTTACTTTGTGTTCACTAATTATAAGAACTTTCACTAAGAACTTTCACTAAGAACTTTAACTAAGAACTTTCGCTTTTCCCAATTTGTAAGAACTTTCCCTCACCCTGTTAAAGACGTCCTTCTGAGATCCGAGGTACAGGAATGGCAGTATCCGGGTGGGGCCCACGTTAGCAACCGGCAGGCAGGGCTGGGACAGGGTCGGGAGGTTAAAGGTCGGCAGCTTGCCCTCACACAGGGTCGGGAAACACGACTGGAAATGGTTAAAGCCACCTGGAAAATAGGGAAAAAAACATGAACAAATGCGAACAGATAAAGAAATTGGTTAAGGAGTCAAATATTGGTTAAAACTACACTGGGGATGGTTAAAACCACCTGAAAAAAAACATAAAATTGATAAAGTAACCCGAAAAGAGGTTTAAGTGACTGATGCAATTTACAAATAATCGAAATAATCCAAAAATAGCACAAATTAGTTCAAATACCATTATATAATATCATATGTGTATGTCTGTATGTATAAACCACAAATATATTGGATCTAGACTAGTAAAAAGTTGAAACCACATGGAAAATACTAGCACATACATACATGTACGTGTAGACCAGAATAGCACCAGTAATTGCAAATTACCAACAACTTAAAGTCATTATCTGTAAGTCGTAAACTTTGAGAAATCCGCTGGTAGCATACTACTAGTATCTCCCAGCTGACGGGTCATTTGGGTGCAAATCTGGTTTGAACCAGCATGAATCATCACTGGGAGAGACGGAATATCCGTTCCTGATCCCCTTATCTCTCGAGAACATCCCCATCAACAGGTGCGCAGCTCCATTCGTCTCTATTGCCTCCGCATGACTCATGCAGGGAGCGGCTCAAAGGTTCAGGGTCATTCACAGATGAACCTAATCTACTTAGCTTAAATGTTCTCTGCTTTAAAGTTTATACTTTTTTCCAAATGAAATACCTACACAGGGTTTGAAATTCATTTTGGGGAATAGGTGCACTGGTGCACTTACTTCAAAAGATATATAAAAAATATTTGGGGTGCACCATATAAACTATCAAGTAAAATATTAAGTAAAATATCAGTAAAAACTAAATATGTTTCATTCCTAAAGAAAAGTACTACAACAAATTGAGGATTGTTTTTCCATTTTTCTTCATGTACCGTATAACATTTACATTATAAGTACCAGTCAGCTACAGTAGTCTCCATATAATGTTTCTGACTTAGAGAGAAGAGATGTTATTCCAGTAGCCCAAACATTATGTTCAGTACCTAGAACTTGTCTCTCTGCCTTACACTGAGCAAATTTGTAAGAAAAAATCTAGAATGCAGCTGATTCAGTAGCACCATAAAACCCTGCAGCTGTGCAGTCTGAGTGTGAAACAGCCTGTCCTACGGGAGACTGACTCATGCAGCTGAGCACCAGAAAAACTGATGAAAAAAAACACACTACAAAAGGCAAAAATTCCACCTGCAGAAATTACCATACAGATAATCGATCGTTATCCTAATGGACAGAGAAAGAATTCCTGAAACCAACATTCCAACAGAATTAAAGTCGCTCCATACACTGTATATTTCTTTAGCATTACAGTTAACTACTTGTACACAACATACATTTATGCTTGACAGTTGAGCATCAGAAAAAATAATGAAACAAAATCCACTATACGTCGATGAAGGTTAGACACCCTGACTTTAAAAAATTGTCTTCACTTTATTTGCACATCAATCAATATTTTGTGCTTATAAACCTGCATTTCTCCTCTGGTCTCTCAGTCACTGACGAAAGCTAGTGGATACTAGCTGAAACGTCTGACCGTTTCCAAAATCATATCCAGTTGCTTGAGTAACTGCTTTTTGGCGTATCAAAAATCCACTAACACGACAAAACAACACAAAATTCCACTAGCAGAAATTCCTACACAGATAATCGATGGTTACCCTAAAGAATTTCCATCGACGTTCCGACAGAATTAAAGTCGCTCCACATCGGGAATGTCACAGCGAGAACACAACACAGAATTCCCATATGGAGAATGAATCACGTTGCTAATGGAATGAATCGATCTGCAGCGTTCCACCTGGTTCTATTCAGCTGATTCCCATATGGAAAACCTCCTGCTGGTCCAACACAAAAGCCGAAAATTCCATGAAATTTCCACTTGGAATATGGCCTCTGCGATCTGTTTTTCAGGAATGGTGGAAAATTCCATATATGCATGCATGTTCAACCCGAGAACGGCTCAGATTTCTGAATGGAAAAATTGAAAAGTAAGACAAACATTTTCTATCAATGTCATCACTTTGGAAACCCCTGCTGTATCCAGCTCACTGCGTTCTTTCCAAAACAATACTCATATCAAAAACCATATCTGGGGCAAATCTACATTCTTGGACACATAGCAACTACCCAGACCCGTGCCTGATCCTAACCCTAACCCATTCAGAAACAGATATAGACAGACACGGTTCTGGATACAATATTTTCACCCCTGCATGTAAAATTTCTGCGTGCTTGAGCGGTCTCCGCCGGGATTTTGCACGTTTGACGAGCTCCGGGGATTTCTCGCGTTATCGCCTCGGAACAGGTGTGCGTACGCACAAAGCCAACTCCCATGGGGCAATGGGGCTGGTCACATGACCATGGTGATGTCAGTGTACATCAAGGTACACAAAAATATCCTTCTGCACTTTGAAATTATTATAATCTTTCTGTAAAATTATAATCTTTCTGTCAAATTGTAATCGTCCTGAGAATCAAACATTCCTTGCACTTGTGTAATATAATCACCCTGAGAATTTGACCGAGAAAGAATCATGTCTGATCCTTCTGAGCTGAAGCCATCCCATAATATGCCGGTAAAAATGCTGACAATTGAATCAGCACCAAGGACAGAGCCATCCCATAATATGCCTCCAAAACTGCTGTCTGACAGACCAACCAGCACCAAGGACAGAGCCATCCCATAATATGCCTCCAAAACTGTTAAACCCAGTTCAGCCATCCTCCCATGGCAGGGGCAGCGGCTCCGAATTCCTTCTCCGCCCCTACCCCTGCCCTATTACATGGCATCTTCTACTCTACGACCCGATTCCAGGGACACGCTCTCAGCCAATCACGTATCACAGAGAAAATCTTCAACGCACTTTACATTAATATTTATGAGATGCGCTAGCTATCGGAACCAATCATGTCGGCTATTCAGTGACAAATAAAAACAAACATGGCGTCGTCTCGGGAAGAGAACTTTTGCGATGCAGGCCGCTGCGGGCGTCGGCGGGGCGCTAGCGTGTGCTGGAGGCTGCGCGCGGATCCCGCCGAGCACGGGGAAGGTGTTAACTCGGTGACTTTGCCCCGCACGGCCTCCCCAACGCGTTAACGGGCTCGTCACCGGGCGGCGGCGGAGTCGCCGGCGGGGAGGGTGACGTCCCTTCGCCGCCCAAGTCAGAAATGGGGTCATGCCAAATAAGGCAAGCTCATGAATATTAATATTCCTCGGGTCGTAGAGTAGAAGATGCCATGTAATAGGGCAGGGGTAGGGGCGGAGAAGGAATTCGGAGCCGCTGCCCCTGCCATGGGAGGATGAGTTCAGCACCAAGGACAGGACTGTCCCAGAAATTAACTAAAGAGTTGTTGAGTAGTACTACTACATAAAAGTGAATGAAATGTCTTCCATACAAGTTGGAACTGGACTGAACCATGCATGTATCAAAGCTTGAGGGACCCAACCTAGGTACATAATTTCAAACCAAACCAACGTGGCTGTCAGGAATTCTACACAACAACTTATACTTGGGGAATCTAACTGAAAGTGGATACAAAAACACTAACTAAAATCCACAAAGTAAATGTAAGGCTTAGCATGATACTACAAAGAAAAATGCTAACAAATGATTCCTGGACTTTCTTTTTCCTGCACCTGTCACCACCGTGAATATATAGTTCCGTAAACATGTCCATTTTCTCAGACCGTGAACTTTTGCTACCATGAACATAGAGTGAATTACAAGTATTCTTGTCTGTTGTTTCTGTCAATTACTGACAAGTTGAGAAAACTTGGACATTTAAAAACAAGAGACGCGTGACACCAGATATATGCCGTGTGTCAATCATCTTCAAACATACGACAAATTTGGAAACGTGACATTTGAAAACAAAGACGCTGTGTACAAAATGACGTATCCCATAATGCTACTGACGTGGGACCATCCAATTGAACTGTCAATCAAAGTGCGGGAAGTGCCGCCAATAAAGGAGTTGAAACCATTAAGTTAAAACCTTGGACGTGTTCCTGACTGAAACATTAGTTAAAACCTTGGGCATATCCCTGTCAAGTACACTTCAGCTAAAGCTTTTAGAGCAGTGAGGAAAATAAAGTAAATAAACGCCCATTGAAGCAGAGGTTTCTTAGAATTCAAGAAGGAAATTTTAACAAGTTGAACATCTTTTCTTTATTATTATCATTTCCAGTTAGTCAGCTTGTGGAAAATGGAAATGTGATAATTTAGAACTTGCTCACACTTGAACAGCTGGCCCTATGGTTCACAATTAATGTATAATGATTGTCATACCTGTAAATACATTAACACAAACCTATACATACATGTAGGTACATCAATATCCTTCCTGTTATTTGTTATATCATATATGTAGCAGAATAGTAACCACTGACAACACACACACTACATGTCATGTATATATCAACGCTGTTTCCAAAAGTCATTACAGTTTTGCTTCGGGCTTGCATATGGAGGGAGGCACATTTGCATACGGATGATGTCATGGTTCTATTTGTGAGCGGTCTCCGGGGACACGCCCGGTGACAGGTGCGACCTGATTGGCTAATTAATTACGCCGCTGTCCGTCAATTGTTGGGAATTTGCCCCCCCCCCACGAGTTTCGAGTGTAATGGGCTTATTTCTATCAGAGATGATGTAAATGGATTAAATACAAACATGGTGTGAATAGGGAAATGCTATAAGCTGAATAATATTGTCAATATTGAGGTTCGATAATGACATAATTTTTTACCACAATACCAAACCATCCACAATTTCTAATTCAAGCATTTACTATCAAAAGTACATGTACATGTATTTTCATTTTTGGCAATTTTTTGGATAATATATTTAATATCATTCTACAAATTGAAAATGTTTTATGAGCCTCAAATTTTATGAAATATTATAAAATTTAGAGGAAAATACTATCAGTTAAATTCTTGAGGTTAGATTATGACATCATTTTTTTTACAATAC